CTGCTGAACAATATCTCTGTTTGTACATAATAAGGAAAATGAATCACGTCTTTCTTGAAACATTATTGTATGTTGAGGGTTTTTGAGTCTCTTTAAAGATGAAAATTAGAATTCTGTTGTTCAGTTTGTATTCGTTCAGGTTAGGAATTTGCATAAAGCATTTTTAACATTCAGAAAGACTTATTATATTTTAGCACCTAAAATGGAATAATACATGCCTACATGAGTAGCTCTGGTAGCGTAGTGGTTATGAATTGGGCTGTGAACCTCAAGGTCAGCAGTTCGAAACTACCAGCTGTTCCGCGGGAGAAAGATGGGGCTCTCTGTACCTGTAAGATTTACAGCCTCAGAAACCCTGTACAGGGGTGCTATGAGTTGGAACCCACTCCATGGCACTTAACAACAAGCATGGGTAACATCGGTCTTTTCTTGATCTGTAAACTTAATTCTCATGTAAGAATGAAATTGTTGCACTTTTCCATAAAGGTTCGTATTTGAATCATTGGGAAAAATCCTGCACTAATTTATTGGATGCTTTTATACATTCTCTCTCAGATATATCCACAATGTTTAAGAAGGAAAAATCCATATGAAATAATTTTATACATTTTTAGCCTTTTCATACAAGATGCATGTATGTCAATGATGGTATAGTATGCAGTTACATGAACTTGACCTGTCACTCAATATTTCTGGAGCACTTCCATCATTTTCTTTTAAACTTTTTATAGTGAATTGAGTGAAGGTTTATAATGTTTCTGTGATGGGAATCTGCTTGATAGTCAGTATTTGGCAGTATTTGTTATATTGTGTTTTCAAAATCTCTCAAATTATATAAATGCCCTGTTAATGACTAATAGAGATCTGTGCAAGTCTTTAAATTTGCTTCTGAATCTTGGAGAATTTGATTCATCTGATGACAATGCTGCAATATATTATCCCACATTACCCACATAAATACTTATCATTTGTGTTTGTATTTTGTTGGCCATACTTTTAGCTTCTCTCTTGGTATCTCATTTGTATATCTGGTATTCATCAGTATTTTCTAAGGTATCTAGAATCTGAGTGTACAATTTCAGGATTGCATTCACTGCTAAAGCACCCCCGTCCCATCATGTAATTAGAACGATATTCTAATACTTGATCATTTTCTAGATAGATTTTACGAATTACCCATCGGTGAGTAAAAGCAGCAAAAAAAAAATGTATATAGTAACTGAACAGTAGAAAGAAAAAAAAAAAAAAAAACCTGCTTCCTGACAGAAATCTACTGTTTTACGAGATTAAGTACATGGTGTATGAAAACGGCATATTTACTACATTCAAAATTTTTCTGTTGCATGCCTTCAAAATACCATGATGTATTGGCAGCATTGTCATAGGCAGATCCACTTAGAAAAATCAATTTTTCAAATTTCACATAAACAGTTAAGTGTTTGATTTGTAGTTTCTTTACCAGTATGACTTTTTAAGCTAGTATATGATTAATCGGTCCTGGTGTGGTACTGCAGATTAATGCGCTGGAGTGCAAGGTCAGTTTGAACCACGAGGTCGGCAGTTTAAGTTCACCAGCTACTCCTTAGAAGCTCTTACAGGGTCACTATGAGTCAGAACTAACTTGACAACACTTAACAATAACACGATGCAACTAATCACTCAACTGGTTTTCTGTCTGTTGGAGACGTGTATGCTGAAACACTACTTAACTGATTCATCTAAGAAAGATCAGAAGTGCAATCTACAGACAAACAGAAACATCAAGCTCTACTTACTTGTATCACTTCAAGTAGTATGAGTTACAGTATTGTAGTACCAATGGTGTTTTCCTATGTGGCCAGCAAGAGAGAACTGGCTATGAGGTTAAACTAGATTGGTCCAAAATAAAAAGGAAATTATGATTGCGGTCATATGGACAATTGATAAAAGTACATTATATATATATATATACATACATAT